TATTTATTTATTTCATTTCATTTCATTTCATTTCATTTCATTTCATTTCATTTCTATCCCACCTATCTGGTCGGGTCAGGACCACTCTAGGCAGCTAACAATCATAGAAAACACAATAAAAATATATAAACAATTTAAATAGTAAAAGCCATGCACAGGGTGAGAGAAACAATAAAAAAAGAAAGAAAAGGCGTCAAGAATTATCTGATGGGAAGGCCTAAATTAGTCACACTAAATTGTGTGACTGTCATTGACTCCAATACAGAAATCTCTGTGATTTGATCCATGTGGGGCTGGGGACTTAAATCATCCCTGCTTTAATTAGAACGTCCTTAGGACCAGTTTCACAGTTGCACAGGGTGAGAGAAACAATAAAAAAAGAAAGAAAAGGCGTCAAGAATTATCTGATGGGAAGGCCTAAATTAGTCACACTAAATTGTGTGACTGTCATTGACTCCAATACAGAAATCTCTGTGATTTGATCCATGTGGGGCTGGGGACTTAAATCATCCCTGCTTTAATTAGAACGTCCTTAGGACCAGTTTCACAGTTAGAATGTGAAAAAGCATTACATTCATCAGATCCTTTCTTTCAAAGCTGAAGTTTCTGCACAGCCTGCTTGCAGCCTATTAATTACCTCCTAATGACCAATCACCAAACCAAAACCAAAATCAAAAGGAACAAAAAACCAACTAATTTGCAAGACTAGGGTAATCAAACTCTATTGCTTAAATAAGCTCAGTTTCTAATCATGAAGCTGGTGGCTCAAAGTATTATTAAAACGAGGAACTACTGCCCTTCTGGGTATGTATGCCCCTGTAATTTAAGAACTGCAGGAACTCTCAAGTGGCAAACTGGAAGACTTTCCAAAGCAGTAATATAGAAGAGGGGTGCATGTGTTCTTTTCTGTCATAAAAGCTAAACCAATGTGCAGGTAGACTGTGTGAGCAAAACAGAAGAAGCCATTTTGAATCTTGTAATATTCCTGAATGAATCTTAAGTTAGTAATCAGGGTCAATAGTGCATGTGTGTGTCATACCCAATGTACTCTACATTTTTGAACGAATTTCAAGAAAGGGCCATGGGACTACAAAGGTTCACTACATGTGGTGCTGCACGTTTCCCTGATGAATATCTGCTTGACATGTATAGGAATGGATTACCTACATATAACTACAGGCAAAAAGTTATCCTGGCTGTTTCCCCTTTCCCACTTACATGGTGCTTGTTTTTCTTTCCTCCAATCAAAGCTTTCCTGGTCTGGGCATTCTTAGTATATTGGAACAACACATGAGCTTTTTGAATGAGTGTGGTGTATGCTCAGTGGCTAAGCTAAACTCATAAGTTCTCAAATCTTAGTGCCATTACTTTTTTTGAACGATGTCTCCCAGGACCTTGCATTAGATTCTGGGAGTTGCAGTTAATCAAGATAACATTTTCTAGTTCTGTATATACGTACTTAGAGGTAATATGAAAGATGGTCCAAGCTTGTTTTCTTGCAGGATCTGAACCAATGGGTTTAAGAAGCAAGAACGGAGATTCTAATTGATACCTAGTAAGGATATCCTAATGATCAGAGCTGTTTGACAACCAAAAGGACTTCCTCAGAAGACCACGGACTTTCCTTTGTTGAATTTTTAGCACAAGAGACTGGATGGCATTGGCCACCCGTCAGGAATGCTCTGTGGACTTTCCTTTGTCATTGGCATTGGCCACCCGTCAGGAATGCTCTGGCTGTGGATTTCTGGCTTTGGTAGGGGCTGGACTAGATGAACCTCAGTTCCTTCCAACTCTACAGTTCTGTGATTCTGTGTATTCAGCATTCCTCTCCTTGATGCTTGAATAGGTATTGCCCACTGAGCCTTGCAATCCAGTGGGCAATATACCCTGAAGTAGATGTGCCTGAAATGACAGGCCAGAGTCTATCCGAGGTGGTGGGTTCTGCATGCCAGCCGGGAGGAGCTTCTGCCAGGAGTTTCAGTCCTTCATTGGGAACCGCAAGCACTTGGGGAATTATTCATTCCATGCTAGCCATTATTACCTCATCAAATGAGAGGAAGTACATTAGCAAAGAGAGAGGACAAAATGAAGTAGCCAATGTTCATACGCTTTAAAAATAAACTGAAATAACCAAAAGAAGTCTGCCTCTGAGAAGGTGAAGGAAGCACTTGGCCCGTCAAATAAATCAACACAATGCAATGACTGGAATACAGTTGTAAACAGCAACTAGAGTAGGCCCATTGACTTAGTGGAGATTTGACGAGTCAACTCCTCTGCAAGTTCCACTAAATCTGTGGCCCTATTCTAATGTGAGCTCCTATTCTAGGACAACAGCACTTACGACTGGATTTCAGGCACGGTGTTATCTGGAATTAGAACAACCATGTTCCCAGGCAGAGTGGCGCCCTCTCATCTTTTGTTCTAGAAATAGCTACTATGCTTCATCCCGATATGTGCAGATCATGCTTTTATACCTCATGGGCCTTTCATTCCTCCCTGGGCTTGCGTATTGGGCTGCTGAGCAAAATACAGACACGACAACTCTTGGAAACGTGCTATCTGTTCCTTTGCTCCAGCAGCCTTGTCCAACTTAGATACGAGTGTGATACAGAACAAGAGTTTCACAGGAGAACAATTACTTCTCTGTGGCTCGTTATTTAAGAACAGTAATTGGATGAATGATTTTATTTAGTGATGATAAGGACATTTTGTTCTTAGTTTTTGGCGTTGTGTAAAAGAGACTGTTTCTAAAAATCTTTGGCTGTAGCGAAACTATGCCTCAAAATGTTATTTTTGGTGTGTGTTATTATCCATGTTGTATTTTTTTTTTTTTAAAAAATAGGGTTTGAAGAGCATATCTTAGGATGTAAATTCTTCTACCAGTTTTACTCATGCCTAGCTCTACAGCCTTCTCTGAACCAAAAACATGAGGGTGGAATTTCTTTTCCAGGTCTCTGCCCCCAAAGCGTGCTACATCTCAAAGCAGAGGCAGTTTTCAGTCATATCCGTTAATGGTTAAAAAATTAATGGAAATGACATCAGTCATAGACAACATGCTAGTCATAAATGCAACTTGAAATTCTGGGGCTGCAATCTTAATCGCAGCATCATGGGAATATGCCTTGGCATTCTTCTATGATGGTCAGTTGTCTCCCTACTCTCATTTTACAATAACCTTGTGAAATCAGTTAGACTGTGGCCTGAGACTACTCACACTACTTGTGCTGGGATTTAAACTCTGGTCTTTGGGCCAAACTAGGTATGACATTGCTATCAATTACCCTGGAGAATGCTTAGAAGCCTCAGGTACCTCCACATGCTATTGCCAAACTACTGATCAGAGCAGTTATAAGGAGAGGGTGATATCTATCTTACAGTGAAGCCTTCCTGAAAGATAACATGACATTCTTTACTTCTTAAAGCAGCTTCACGTTACAGGACCCACACACAGCTTGTAATACTTTTTTTTTTTGAGGACCTGAAGAAGTGATACGGCAGCTTCTGAATCAGAAGTGAAGCTGCTTTAAGAAGTAAAGAATGTCTGGTTATCTTTCAACAAGGCTTCATAGTTTCACAAACTGTGCTTGGTGATTAGTTTTTGGGAGGCAAACCAGCTTTGGTTGCTTGTTGACTGAGACAATACAGCAGCTTTAAAGAATATGTTTTTTGAGAGACAGTATTTAATCACCTTTTAATTGTGATGCTGTTGTCTCCTTTATTTTAAGATCTTTGGGGGAGGCAACAAATTTAACCCCACTGGATAGCTCAGTGGTTTAGGTATCTGGCTGTGGAGCCAGACATTGGAATTTTGAATCTCCACTGGATCTTCTGTGCCAGAAGGAGGGAATGGTGAACCACGTCTGAGTATTCACTACCTAGAAACCCCTGGAAAGATCAATGTACGTTGGGATCAATTTGATGGCACACTGTCATTATTACCATATTTTTCCATGTATACAACCCCCCAATGTATACGATGGCCCCCTAATTTTGTCCTTTGCAGGAGGCAGAGAAGCAGTCAATGGGCAGCCGCGACGGGTGGCTCTGCCTCCATCTGCTGCTGCCTCCACCGTAGATCACGTTGCCATCTTCTCCCCTGCCCGAAGGGAGCCCGCGAGTGGCGCTGGTAGCGGAGGCAGAAGCAGCAGGAGGAGGAAGAGGAAATGGAGGCAAAGGAGCAGCCACGCTCAGCCCAGCGGAGGCAGAAGCAGCAGCAGGAGGAAGCGGAAATGGAGGCAAAGGAGCAGCCACACTCTCAGCCACCTCTCGTGGGTGCCCATTGACTGCTGCCACCGCTGCCACTGCTGCCAGATCGCCTTCTTCAGTGCCACTTGCAGGCTGCCTTCGGGCAGGGGACACCTCCTTCAGTGCCACTTGCAGGCTCCCTTCGGGCAGGGGACAAGGTGGCAGCGTGAGCTGGAGGTGAGCCCTGGAAGGAGGAAGAGGCAATCGGGCAATGGCGGCAGCAGTCTATGGGCAGCCCTGAGAGGTGGCCAAGCACGGCTGCCCCTTTGCCTCCACCTCCTTCCATGTACAAAACAACCCTCAGTTTTTCCTCTAACGATTTTAGGGAAAAGTGTTGTTTTATACATGGAAAGATACGGTACTATCTGAGGGCCTTTTTGGTGTCTGTACTTAGGCTTCAAAACTCCTCGTTAATGGAGTCTTTCCCTTCCTGGGATGGATTCCTGCCAGTGGATCCCTCTATTCCTAACTACATGTGAACTTATAGGAAGGGAGCTGTCCTTGTTGCCAATGGAATTTTTTGTGGGCGGGGAGGGGAGATTGTTTCCAGGTTCCGAGCTACACTGGGAATGTCTAGGAAAATGTCTGGAAAAAAAGAGTTTCAAAGGGAAAGCATTAGGAACGGGAGATTTGTCATCCCTCTTGCCATCTTTGAATGCTCCCTCTCCAACATTATAGGAATTTGGTAGCTATCCAAGCCCTTGTCTGCCACCCTGTCTAGTCTACCTCTTAAAAGGATGTGAATGCCAATCAATAGTAAGAAAGGAACCTTATTTGCTATTACTCTGTTCATTTCTACTCCAGTTCTGGCTGGTGATGCACTATTTGTCTGAGATGGATGAAGAGCAGACCTTGGTCATGTACAGTGGACACCCTCTGGGACTCTTCCCTAGCCACCACAGAGCTCCTCGATTAGTCATCACCAATGGCATGGTAAACATTGTTGTCAACACAACCTCTCTGGGTTGGGTTCCCCCCCCCATCATTCCTCCACTTCCCTCTATTCCTCACATGTGGATTGGCCCTACTCTGTGGTGAGTTAACCCTAAATATGCAAGAAGCCACACTCTGAAAGAGAGTGACCACCCCAGGATTAACCCAATGAATTTAACGGCTCAGTGGGAATCAGAACCTGGGTTCCCTGAAATCTGTCCAACTCTGTAATTGTAATGCTTTATTTGTTCTTCGTGCCACCTTTCTGTTTTCCTTTCCCTTCCTCAGAGAGTAAGAAAGAAATTATAGGGGCATTTCTGAGATTTAAAAGATAATTATTATGATAGTCAAAGTACGTGGAGGCGCTGCGGGCTAAACCGCAGAAGCCTGTGCTGCAGGGTCAGAAGACCAGCAGTCGTAAGATTGAATCCACGCGACGGCGTGAGCGCCCGTCGCTTGTCCCAGCTCCCACCAACCTAGCGGTTCGAAAGCATTTAAATGCGAGTAGATAAATAGGGACCACCTCGGTGGGAAGGTAAACAGCGTTCCGTGTCTAAGTCGCACTGGCCATGTGACCATGGAAGATTGTCTTCGGACAAAACGCTGGCTCTATGGCTTGGAAACGGGGATGAGCACCACCCCCTAGAGTCGAACACGACTAGACAAAAATTGTCAAGGGGAACCTTTACCTTTACCTTTTACCTATTATGATAGTGCTGTATTTCCAGCAATAACAGGAAATTCGGGACTAGATCTCATTTGCTCTTCCAGTAGGTTCCTTTACATTGCACATGTGAGAGGCATTGGTGGAATATTGACAAGGGATAATTGAATCTGTCCTAACATGGTATTATTATTCAAATATCACTCCCATTTTTAACATTCTCTCTCTTCCCCAACCCATCCTTCTTCTTCATTTAGGTGATTCCTAACTATTCCTCCAGAGAGGAGTATGAGAAAATGTTTGCAATGGGAGTTACAATGTAAGTGATCCATTGTTCAAGATGATTTGAAATTCCCATTTTTATTTATGGAAACTATTTTTTTTTTTTGTATTTGAGAAATTGTGGGTTTTTAGAATGCTCTGTGATAGAAGAGGGAGGGATAAGGTCATGTGGGACACTGGAAAGCAAACTATGAATAAAACCGCAGATGTAGGGCTCCCATTCCCATAGTGGGAGTAAGTCCCAATGAACTCAATGGGACTTAAAACATGCAAATGTAGACTTGCATTGTAAGAGACCATGTGTGAAAAAAGGAAAGAGGGGCAGCAAATGCTTAAGGGGAAAACGAAGTGGGTACACGGCCAAAGAGCCTGAAAAACCCACAACAACCAAAGTGGGTAGTGTTTTTATCAGTAGATCAGCCTTTCCCATAGGCACCCTGTGGATAAGTTGGGTTGTAGTTCCCATTGTCCTCAACTAGTAGAGCCAGTGCTGATGCTGGCTGTAGATGATGGAAGTTGCAGTCTAGGATCAAATGGAAAAGGATGGACCAGTCGAGCAGTGCAATATACGGATATACAGTAGGACTTCAGGATCTTTGGGATCAGCACCCGCAGTTCCATTTATCTGCTGCCTGAAAATATTAAATGAAACTTCCCAAAATATGTGTTTGCAAGGTATATTACCCAAATGGGTCACTAGAGGAACCAGAGACTATGCTATGTGCTGTATAACATTTCTATATCCAGGCTTTTCAGCATATGTGGGGGGTCTTTGTGTGCTCAGAACCCATCCGCTGCACATACTCCATCTTTGTGTTGGGCGTGAGTTTGTATAACATTATCAAGAACTGATTCGAAAACTGCTGTTGATAGGTATGGACAAATGACAGCAGGAAGCTACTGCTATATTGGACCACAGGGAATAGTCCATGGCACAGTGGTAAGAACTCCGCTTCCTTACAGATGGTACCATTTGTGGGAAAAGGGGAACATCAAGTCCCCCGTCTGATCAATATGATAAATGCAGTTTCAATTATCGAGCCTGGCAATTTTTTTTAAAAAACTAAGTCATTGCCACATATGTTTTGCAAAACCTTAAAAGTAATTAATCACCACTAGCATTACAATCAGTCAGTCAGTCAGTCAGTCAGTCAGTCAGTCAGTCAGTCGATCGATCGATCGATCGATCAATCAATCAATCAATCAATCAATCAATCAATCAATCAATCAATCAATCAATCAATCAATCTACATTGTTGTGGTTGTTTTTGTTTTGTTTAGGCCTCACTAGACATGACACTGATTGTATACTTAGAGGGAGTGGGCCTTTAAGAGTACAAAACCGCCTGTTTATTCTATCACAAACCTGGCCTCAATCCACACTGAGCCCATTGGCTTGGGTTTGCTTTGTAACTGGTCAACAGGGAGACAGCACAGCTTTGCTTGTGTGCCTGAGGTCTGAATGAGCTAGCACTGAAAGATTTACATGCTTGAGATCCAATGCAGTATGAGGAGGAAGGATACCGTTATTTTAATGTCTCATCCAACCTTACTTGCTGCAATACTTTCTTTTCATTTTATGTGGGGGAAGGAAGAACATATGAATGATAACAGAATTTCATAAACCCCAAATGTTAAAAAAGTAACTTTAAATGATAACTAGAAAACATTGACCATTTAATACATTCAGAGGGTGAAAGATTCTGAGTGGCATAACAGAAATCCCTGAGGCTTCCTTCATTTTCACGAAAGTCTCACTTAATCCTGAAAATACAGACACTGTTGAAGAAGAAGCAATAAATTTGGAATGGTAAATATAGATGGGCCATATGTATAGTTTTGATTAATTAAGCTAACATATATCCCACGGGCTGCATGCAGCCCCCCCCCGGGTCAAAACGCTGTCCTCTGGCCCTCAGGAACTCCAAACACCAAAACAATTTTTTCTTTTTAAATTATGTTTGCCTAAACAACAACAACAACACCACATTTTGTGCCCTCCAGCAGGTCTGGGGACAGTTTTTTAAATGTTCCAATTGTCCCTAAAACTCCCTAGCTGGATGGATAGCTCAGTGAGACAGAAGTCGGAAGTTCAATTCCCCGCTGTGCCTCCTGTGAGTAGAGCCAGCCTGGGTGGCCTTGGGTGAGTTGCGCAGCCCCACGGCGACCCTAAAAGAAAGGAATGATAATATTATCAAGATTATCCCTGAAAAGAGCCACCATAGGTCAGAACTGACTGGATGGTACATACACAGTTATTATTAATTAATGCCCCTGGGGCTTCTCACAGCTCGGTGTAAAATAATCTCCCTCTTCTGTTGCTACTTTGCTTTAGCTAACCGTGCTCAATGCAGGCCGTCGTTACTTGGGAGTGGAGAGCCTGGCTGGGAAAGTTTTTGTCACCTCTGGCCTTGGAGGAATGAGCGGGGCTCAAGCTAAGGCTGCAGTCATTGCTGGCTGTGTGGGGATTATTGCTGAGGTAAGCCTGCCTGCTTATTTGCATGTTTGGACTCAGAAGCTGATGTTCATATCAACCCCTCCACCCTTTTTTCCATTAAGGGTTTCCTTAATTGAAACTCCCATTTAATACCCTTGCATATTGAACATATTTAAGAAAGAGGGTACCAGCTGTCCAAGGCTGATCCATATGATCCTTTTAAAACCCCAAATAATGGAGAAGAACACCCAAATCTTACAGAATACAGAGCACATTTAGGCATTGGGTTCAGGCAAGCATCTGGGATTGTGTCAAGTATGTCCTTCCTGCACATCAGGAGACAAGGCCTTTTCAAGGCATAGCTTCTGGCTCTTTTCCCATCTTCCTCAGGCTTCTCCGCTTTCTAAAGCACATGAGAGAATCTGGTTTTCTTTGGAAATGCTCAAACTGAATCTAGAAATAGACTGGCACGTGCAAGGGTAGAGATGTCGGCTTCAGTTTTCAGACATCTCTGACTACGATAAATAATGACGCCTGTGAAGGCACAGAAGAAGCAGGAAGTGACAATAGTGATAGCTCAGAATTTAAGACTGATTAGACAAAGTTCCCTGAAGCAAAAAAATAATAATAAGTGAAACTTAATTCTCTCTATTGCTCAAAATGAATCGATTTCACTGTCTGTTTGGCACTGCTGAGGAGAGGCAATATTTAATAATATTTGACTTTGTTTTGCTACAGTCTTAATGGTTTCTGTTCTTTAACCATTTGCTTGTTCCTTATAAATGTGGCAAAAAGTAAAAGAAACTAAATTTCATAGGAGTTCATCAGGCCGTGCTTCCATTTGTAATAGAATAAATGTGTGTGAATAAATAATTATTTTAATCCAGCGTTTCAGTAGCAAATGTGTGTGGGACACTCCCCTTCTTGCCCTCCTTAGTCCTCTATCTTGCTAGAATGTTTCCTAGTCCTGCAGAGTGAATGTTGAGGGCATGGTGGGATGTTCAGAGGGATGCCATTCCATCTGTGGGATGACAGCACTGGGTCCCAGCCTATGCTTTCACATAAAATATACCCAATAATTTTGTGAGCAAATTAAGGGTTCTCCACCCCCCTCACCCCTGATGTTAGGGAAGCATGAAGGCAAGAGAAGAAGGGGACGACAGAGGATGAGATGGTTGGACAGTGTCATCGAAGCTACCAACATGAATCTGACCCAACTCCAGGAGGCAGTGGAAGACAGGAGGGCCTGGTGTGCTCTGGTCCATGGGGTCACGAAGAGTTGGACACGACTAAACGACTAAACAACAACAACCCCTCTCACAGTCTCCCTGGTTCATCAGTGAGGATATTGGTGTATTTCGTATCATTCATGTGACGATGTCTTGCTATATTCATTAGCAAAAGTCATGATTTTGCATGCTTTTTTGTCCTCTCCTGAAGGACAGAGCAAGTCCCAATTCTTGTCCAAGTTCTCCAACAACTGGATCCCCCTAAGTCGCAACAGAGTGGGTGGGATGACCAAATTGCTCAAGTTCTCTTAGTGGACTGAGGACTCACAGAAAGATATGGGATGAAATGCAGATCAGGATGGCTTCCTTTTGCCATAGCTCCACAGAAAGAGTCATCCAGTGAGTGCACAAGGGTGAAAGAGACCATAGACTCTCACATTCATTGTCCAAGGCGTTCAATCTGGGGAAGCCTTCCCAAGCAGAAAAGAAATTCCATCTGAACATTAGGAAGAACTTCCTGACAGGCCAAGCTGTCCAACAGTGGAATGGGCTGCTTCGAAGGGTGGTGGAATCTCCTTCTTTGGAGGTTTTTAAGCAGAGACTGGATGGCCATCTGTTGGGAGTACTTTGATGGATGTTTCTACATGGTGGGGGGTTGGACTGGATGGCCTTAGTGGTTTCTTGCAACTCTATGACTCTAAGCCCTACTTCAGTTTTAAAAAGTAAAGATTAGGCACCATTTTTAAACCTCAGTAGGGCTTGCACCATGTGCAATGGCAGAAGTTGCTGTGAATTACACCTGTTTTTTTCCACAGTATTTGGTTTTGGCCAAGATCTATAAAGTGTACAAATGAGGAGGAGGAAGAGGAGGAGGTATTTTCACATACACACTGTAAACACACATACAGCTCCATATCCCCCAGTGGCTCTATATTTTTGGAATATTTTTACAATTCTGGTCCCATTCCCAGCATATGAAACTCTGATTTGGACTGGATCTCTACATTATCTTACTGCTCCCAACCCTAGATCACTCCTATGTAAGAAAGTGCTTATATTTATTTAAATCAACAATAGATTTTAAAAGAAAAGAAGAAGAAAATGAGATATTTCTAACTAAGCTGATGTTTTTCCAAATGCAGATTTTGTTGGGCAGATTGCAGTCCAACTGTTTGGGGGTTAACAGATCCACCAAGTCATGCTCACTCCATAAAACGTTTCCCTAAGGAGGAATTGAAATGTTCTCATGTGAAACAAGCTATAGAGCTGTGCTATTAAACAGGGCAATAAAGGGCTTCAGTGACCCGTGTGATTTTACCACTGATGACAGGGGAGAGAATCTTGTTTCTAAATTTGTGCTGGCTAGAAATCTCATTGAGTGGTAATAATGTATATTTCATGGCATATAAGTGATCTCTCTAAAATTAGACTTGTATTCAGTATTCAGAGTGCTAGTAGGACTTGTTTTGCCTCAGGGCAATGCCTGAAGTCTCAGGGTAGGGCTATACTTCTCTGGTTTGCCAGAGGAGAAGATAATTTTCTTTTTGTGGATGAGGTGGCTTTAAACTCTAGGCACTGATTTCCACCTATTCCTGCCTGGTGCCAGGGCTGAATGGCTTGGCATGCTAGTGTTTGTGTGTACATATTGTTCCAGATGGCATGGTAGTCCCAAGCCCTCTTTTCTTGTGTCAAGTTTTTGGTCCAACAGTGTTGGTCACAGTGTTTGAAAGGGGCAGGATACTGGACTCGTGAGCCTTCTTTTTCTGCAAATCCTGCTGGTAGTGGTGTCCCAAAGCCTGAAAGAAATTCCCTCTTAGCCCTTGCGTGCCCTACTCTTGTGACAAGGGTCTCATCCCAGTCCAACATTCTGTCCCTAAAATCTCAGGGAATGAGATGGTACCTTTCACCTCAGGGTGTGGATAAACTCTTGCGAAGTTTTTTAGTCATTGCTTTTTTCCTTTCTTTTCCCCAAACACAATGTTGCAGGTGGATAAAGCTGCTCTTTTAAAACGTCACCAGCAAGGATGGTTAATGGAAATCACAAGGAGCCTGGATCATTGTATTGCTCGGCTCAGGTATGGAACAACAAACACATTCTTTGATTTTTTTTGTCTAATTCATTCCATATCCAGAGAAAGGCTTTCAGAGTTGTTGTTTGCAATATTGTGAAAAATCCTCACTTATGTGTACTTTGTGCCTAAATGTACTTTTTGCTAGGAATGTAAAAACCTTTCAGTCTTAGGTTTGTTCCATTTCATCAAAGCCCACTGGCAGTTCCATCCCACCCTTTCTTCATATCACTTTGTAAGGTGTCATCTTTGCTTCCTGAATTGAAATGTGGAGATTTTCCATACACATTTTCCATGATGTGCACACTTATATAATTTTCCTGATGCTCATATTAACTCCATAATATAGACTATTTCTATCCCCTGTGAAGCTTCAAGACACTCTAGAAATTGTCACCTTCACTTGAAACTGTGTATCAGAATATTTGATTTGGGAACAAAATCATTTACACCTTTTACAGCTAAACTATCATCTGCAGGAATTATAAAAGGCATTTGTTCTTGTAATTTTTAGAGAAGCAAAGAAGAACAAAATAGCTCTGAGTCTGGGATATCATGGAAATGTTGTTGATCTTTGGTAAGTGTTGATTCATCATCTTGATGATGATATATTATAATTACTGTTTAATTCAGAAGTTGCAAATTATTCTGTAATCAAATCAGTGCTGTGACATCTGTTCCAATCTAGGTCTATATTATATCTGTAGGTCTATATCTAGCCTACAGAAGTACTACCATATAAAATATCACAATGAAATCTAACTTAATAACTGAACCGATTGTTCAACCAAGTATTCAGATTTGCCTTTTTGTGATACAGCTAAAATTAGGCAATTTAAAGAGGCAAATTGTGTGTGTGTGTGTGTGTGTGTGTGTGTGTGTGTGTGTGTGTGTGTGTGTGTGTGTGTGTACACAAACACACACACATTATATATATTGATCCAGCGCTCATGGTCTGTGAGCCACTCCTGGCAGGAGGCAGGAGGATGAGCCTCGCAGACTGCAAGCTCCGAATCAACAGGAAGGGAGCGTGGAGCCTGCAGCAACAGCAGAAGGTGACCCTCATTGTGTCCACCTGTGTGTGGGAGGCATCCTTCAGTCTCGAGAGACTATGGGAACGTGCTCTGTATGGAGGACTTGGAACAGCGTCTCGTGTGGCTGAGGAGGCCAATACGAGAGTGACAATCCCTTCCACACTGAAGACCTCTGGGTAGTGTGGGCGGCATATAAATTGAATAAATAAATAAATAAATAAAATACAGTCTGTCCCCTGTCCAGCTCCCTTATTTGACTGGTTTCGGCACTGGCTCTTTGCCTTGGCCTGCTGGACAAGGGTCTCTTCAAATTGGGAGAGGCCATGATGCACCGCCTGCCTCCAGGCTGAACATTCAGATGTCAACGTTTCCCATCTATTGAGGTCCATTCCTAAGGCCTTCAGATCCCACTTGCAGATATCCTTGTACAGTATCGCAGTACGAATAACCCCATCTCTAGTCCTTAGTAAATATACATCAGCTAATATGTTTATCTAGTGTTCTTCTAATTCATAGCTGTTTGTCATTCCACCACAACACACCACTGCTCCATATTCACATTAAAATCAAATTAACCTTTTCTTTTTCTTTACCTAGGGAGAGACTTGCTGAAGAATTTGATGCCACTGGAGAACTGTTAGCTGACCTGGGGTCTGACCAAACATCTTGTCACAATCCTTTTAATGGAGGTTATTATCCAGTACAGCTGAGTTTTGAGGATGCTAACCAACTCATGGCTAGCAATCCCGAAGAATTCCAGGCCCTTGTGCAAGAGAGGTACTTCAAATACATCCACAAGTTTATAGCTGGGATAAAATTCTAGCAGTGATTCTGGAGGGCTCAGCAATCTCTTGCAATAAGATGTTCCTTCCTCTAGGCAGTGTCTTTTTTTTAATTTTGGGATTTGATTGATTGATTGATTGATTGATTGATTGATTGCAAAGAGGAAGGTGGCTTTTTGAATCACGGTAATAAAAACAGAAAATAAAATCAATATGTCAGGCTAGACACTCAGTTGTGGAAAACCTGGTCTGGAGTAAGTAACATTTCTTTGTTATCAGCTTAGCCCTATGCCAAACTCATGGGGGACCATGATCTGAACAGGGAAGTACCTGTACCCCAAAATCTGGAGATGAGCCCATCTTTTAAGCCATAAGCTGCCCTTGTACGCAAGTACTTGTAAATGAGCCAACCATTGGCTTTACATAGATTTAGTAAAATTCCTAACTATATGAGTTCAGTCTGAAATGCCTAAAACTAAATTGTTCAACCCCTGTGATGTTGTTCCTTCTAGTTACTTATGATCTTAATTCATCAAGTTTATGTGTCATAAGGAGATGGTGCAGAAGTAGACTTCAAATAATAGGTTTTGGTTGGCAAAAGTTGCATGCAATTAACAGTTGGGTTTGCTGAGCTGGCAGATGTCAGCTAAGCAATGGAATATGATGGAAAAGAATGAGGAAAGATAGGCATACCCATATCATGTATGTCACATGATGGACGGAATGTTGTGTCACCTTAAAGCAGACATAGCAAACATGTGGCATGCCACTATCACCATCGATAAAGAATCCAGAGATTTGCTATCCTAGCATAGGTAGTGGGTGGTACATTTCTCGCCCTTAAAGCATGCCCTCTCCTCAGACCCAGTAAGCTTAATTCAGTTCAATCTAGTCCACAATGACATCTGTTTTTAAACCAATCGTTCTCAAACTTGGGCCACTGGATGTTGCCGGACCTCAACTTTCAGAAGCCTCAGTTTATATGGTCAATGGCCAGGGATTATGGGAGCTGGAGTCCAGCAACATCTGGAAATCAAATTTGGGAACAGCAGAGTTACATTAAAGCAAAGGCAAAAGTTCAAGATTTTGAAAGTTTGTTTCCACATTTTCTTCTTGGGAAGAAGAAAGGGGTACTCCAAGTAGGAGCAGTGAACCCTTAACGTTTCAAGAAGCATGTTGAGGATTGCTGGCTGGAAAATGTCAGTATTTCCTTTTATTTCTTAAAATGGGTTTTGACATAATCTATGATGAGAGGAAATGGTAGGCTTCTTACAGTGATGTTGATTGACTGCTTGCTGCCCTTAGAAGCAGGGCCGGCCCTAACATGAATCAGAGCGAGGCAGCTGCTTCAGGCAGCTGATTTTGAGGATTGTGACAGAGCAGAACTCCTGCACTTCTGAAGGGTTAGGGCTACACCACACAGCTAATCATTAAATTTAAAATTTTATCTCTAGGGATGGGGAGGAACACTGGTGCAAATTTTCTGCCTCATATGCCAACATAACTTGATTAGCTCTAGGTGCCAAGAACTTTGACCTCTGGCTAGGTAGCTAGGTGGGGCGCTTTGCTGCTCTGCCACAGGCAGCAAACTGCCTTGTGTGCTGACCTTACAACCTTTTAGAAAAACTGAATTTCAATTCAAGATACAAGTACTGTGTTTTCCCGAAAATAAGACAGGGTCTTATATTAATTTTTGCTCCAAAAACGCATTAGGGCTGATTTTCAGGGAAAGTTTTATTTTGCAGTCATGTCATCTTCTTCTGGTTGCTGCACAATGGTGGAGGGCGGGGTTTCACTTAACTGGGGCTTACTTTTGGGGTAGGGCTTCTATTATGAGCATCCTGAAAAATCATACTAGGGCTTATTTTCAGGTTAGGTCTTATTTTTGGGGAAACAGGGTAGCAACTGGAAGCCAGTTCAAATTATATGAGAATGACTGCAGAAGCTGAGGGGCAGAGATGAGGGAAGAAGGATACTGGAATTGACCTCCAGGGGAGGAAAGTCTTATTTTCCAAAGGTCAAAGCAGGCTGCAGAAATTTAATTAATTCACCCCCACCAGTTTTGTTTGACAATCAAGTCAGCAAACAACTGTGTGGAGGAAGAAGGGTCTTATGTCTGAGAACGCTGCAAATGCTCAGTGACCCAGCTGTATTGATTTTGATCCACAGCCAGCTGCCCAGATTTTTTTTTCAGTGCATGCTTTCTGGAACTAGGAATTAGAGAATTAGGCTATATAGATTAGTAGTAATAATTCTCTTCCTGCAGCTTGATCTTGTTGAGTCTGTCTTTCAGAATGAGGTGGCTTGGGAATTGGGGGCTGCTTATATCATCTTGCTCAAAGGAGCTTGAATTGTTCAGCCATTCAGCCACAAAGGCAGAACTCTTCAGCTAAATCAGATGTAGAGCAGGAGATGAGTTTGAGTTCCAAAATAATACCAGCATGTCTGAATGAGCAAAGCAGAGCACTTCCATTGCCCATAGCCCATTAGAGCTGGCTGTACCATTAGCCTTATGTAGGCCGTCATCTGAGACAGCAAGGCATGGGAAAAGGAAATGTGTTGTCCCCAACTCTGTCCTCATGGGGCTCCTGCCACTTGGGAGCTGCTGTTGCTTGGGCTAGCTATCCAGAGTGACTTAACTGATAAGCAGTCAGAGTGGTCCCTTTCTTCCTCTTAAGGGTGTGGGTGGGTGTGGGTGCCCCCTTCTTGATAAGGGATGCACTAATGCCACCACACATAATTTCTTCTCCTTTGGAGGAGAGCATCACTTATGATGGCGTTCTTGTCCTTTGTTATTGTCGTGGAATGAGGTATATGTATACAATCATTTGAAAAAGAAAGTACACTCCCTTTGAATCCTATGGTTTTACATATCAGGGCATAATAAAAATCATCTGGTCCTTAGGCAGGTCTGCAAATTAGATGAATACAACCTCATATTACAGCATGTCAGGGTTTATTTTAGAAAAATAAAGCCAAAATGGAGAAGCCATGTGTGAAAAACTATGTACTCCCTTACTCCTTCCCTAGGAATTAAGATGCTAATTAGCAGCCTGGTGCTGCTAACCAAATAGCCTTCAGTAACTGATGATCAGCAAGTGTGACCACCTCTATAAAAGTCGAAGTTTTAGCAGTTTCTTGGTCTGGAGTTTCCTGGTGTGTGTTAACACAATGCCAAGGATGAAACACATCAGCAATGATTGCCGAGAAGCAACTATTGCTGCCTATTAGTCTGGGAATAGTGATAAGGCCATTTCCATACAATTTAAAGTCCATCATTCTACAGTGAGAAAGATTATTAACAAGTGGAAAACATTCAGGACAGTTGCCAGCCTTCCCAGGAGTGGATGTTTAAGCAAATTCACCCCAAGATCAAGCCGTGCAATGCTCAGAGAAACTTCAAAAAACCCAAGAGTTACAAGTCAAACTTTATAGACCTCAGTTGGCATGTTAAATGTTAAAGTTCAGGATGGTATAATTAGAAAAAGACTAAACAAGTATGGTTGGTTTTGAAAGGTTGCCAGGAGAAAACCTCTTCTCACTAAAAAGAACATGGCAGCACAGCTTAGGTTGGAGAAGTTGCATCTGGACAAACCACAAGACTTCTGGATCAATGTCTTTTGGACAGACAAGACCAAAGTGGAAATGTCTGGCCATAATGCACAGCACCACTTTGGGTGAAATCCAAACACAGCACATCAGTACAAATGCCTCATACTAACTTTCCTGTGGATGCCTCATACTAACTTTCAAATGCCTCATACTAACTTTCCTGTGGAGGGGCCACAGGACCTGGACACCTTACAGTCACTGAGTCAACCATGAACTCCTCTGTATACCAAAGAATTCTAGAGTAAAATGTGAGGCCATCTGTTCAACAACTAAAGCTTGGCTGAAATTGGGTCATGCAACAGGACAATGATTCCAAACACACCAGCAAATCTACAACAGGATGACTGACAAAGAAAAGAATCAAGATGTTACAATGGCCCAGTCAAAGTCCAGACTTCAGCCTGACTGAAATGCTTTGGTGGGAACTCAAGAGAGCTCTGCATAAACAAATGCCCACAAACCTTAATAAACTGAATCAACGTTGTAAAGAAGAGTGGACCAAAATTCCTCCACAACAATGTGAGAGACTGATAAAGGCATACAGAAAAGTTCCTTCAAGTTATTGCTGCTAAAGGTGGTTCTGCAAGCTATTGAATCATACAGTGTACTTCATTTTTCACACATGGTTTCTCCATTTTGGCTCTATTTTTGTAAAATAAATCATGACATGGTGTAATATGTCGTGTGTTGTTGTTCCTCTGAGGTTGTACTTATGGTGCCTGAATTTCAGACCTGCCTAAGGACCAGATGATTTTTATTATGTCCTGATATGGACCAGATCATTTTTGTTATGTCCTGATATGTAAAACCATAGAATTCAAAGAAGGTGTACTTTCTTTTTCACGTGACTGTACAGACACAACAGCACCATAGAGGAAAGGCGTAGCAGGATTGTCTTCTCCTCTTTGGTGGTGGAGAGCTTGCACCAGGCCTGGATTGGAGCCCAACTAGGAGAGAGCAGGAAGAAACTATATATCGGACAGTGGCAAAGCATGCTGTGAAAGAAGAGGAAGGATTCCATTCTGCTCACCCATCTGCATTGTTTTCTTATTTAAATTCTGGCCATTCCCTCCTCCTCCTCCTCCACTCGATCAATGATTGGGGCAGACCCTTTCTTAACCTGTGGGTCTTCACTGTCACCTCTGTTGTCTGTCTATGTAATTTAATGGTTACATTTTGTGAACCAAAATTGCTGCAAAGCACTCACATTATTTTGCACACCCATTTCAAGAAGGCCAGATTTGGCATCTCGCCCTGCCTTTTAAGATGCAGCTGGTAGGGATATCGGTGGAGCCTTCTTATCTGCATCACCCAGATGGGGAAAACCTCCTCCCTGCTTCTTTCTTACTTTCAATGTCTGGGGAAGATTAATCCTGCTCCCCCTCCCTTTTCACTTTAGCATCATCCTCTCTCTGACTGATTGCTTCTCTTGCTGATTCTGGTCCTGCTTTTGTGGTGCTTAATAAGTTGTTATTGTTTGAATATTTATTTTTTATTGGCTTTTTTTATTATAATTGATTAGAATTTTTATAATGAGTTTTTATCTGTCCTCTTCCTTTGTGATGCCACTTCCAGGACCTGCCATGTGTGGCTGCATGGGAAACGGCAACCCCATGGCTTCTCCCTCTCCCCCAAGTAGCAATTGCGAGTTAGAAGCCTCGACATAAGGGGAAACAACAGACAGATAGCCAGATGGACACAGGGATCTTGTCCCTCTTACCTTTTCTAAGTGATCACTTGTTGATCTGTAATTTGCTACACTTTGATTTTTCTTCCTCCTATTTCCCCCCAAATCACTAGTTTTTGTTCTCCTTTGTTAGAGGTATGAGCTCTCCACAATGGCTACTAGCATATCCTCCATGGATAGAACCTAGCTTTAGAGATTTCTTTAATGAAGTTCATGGCTCCTTCCTCCTGCACCATCTTCTATGTCCTTCCTGGAGTAATACACTGTGCCTTTCCAGATTAGTTGCTTCTGTTGAATACTTAAAAGCACAGCCCTTATTGGCTGCACTCTTATTAGGATAAATACCCAAAATGTTTTAGCCAGCCATGAATGGAAGCCCTATGTGAGCCACCACAACTTTGGAGCACTGATAAGTATCTGTGTAGCCCAAAAAGGGCACTGACTAGCCTGCAAAATTTGTAGAAGCAAAATGAAAAATGAAAAGTCTTAAGATAGCAGTCCCACCAAACAACCAAATGATGGCTGAACATACTTTCAGTTCTGAGTGTCTGCTTTCACAGGAGAGAATTTAAAAAATGAAGAAAAGGGGAATATGCAGAAGGAAGGCATGGCTGTCTGGATGAAATCTTGAACAGAAGAACTGTAACAATTTGTTGCATTTCACACTTGCAATATCCTGTTTCATCTTAAAGGAAATTTGGACTAGGAATGGAGTGCAGCAGGTGGCACTTCTTGTTAAAATTCTTCTCCCAGCCTTGCCACCATAGGAGTCTCTTTTTCAGTAACTGAGGGTGGATACATTACCCCCCAACCCCACCCCACTCCAATATTTAGGCAGTACAGACCCCACACTGTTCTACTGGACATTCAGGTGGCTGACCCATTATGGGTGTCTTTTTATCTTTCATCACATGAATCATAGAATCATAGAAAAGTGAATTTGGAAGGGGCCTACAAGGCCATCAAGTCCAACCCCCTGCTCAAGGCAGGAATACAAACAAAGCATATCTGCCAGGTGGTCATCTAAGTTTTTCTTGAATGCCTCTAGAGTTGGAGCATTCAGCAGCTTCTGAGGTAAATGGTTCCACTCTCGAATTTTCCCAACAGTAAGGAAGTAGGAAGTTTTTCCTGATATTCAACCGAAATCTGGCTTACTTTAACTTGAGCCCTTTGTTGCGTGTCCTGCACTCTGGGATGATCGAGAATAGAACCTGCCCCTCTTCTGTATGTCAGCCTTTCAGATATTTGAAAAGTGCTATCATATCACGCCTCAGCCTTCTTTTCTCAAGGCTAAAAATGCCCAATTCTTTCAGCCTTACCACATAAGGCTTGGTTTCCAGCCCCCTGATCGTCCATGTGGCCCTCCTCTGAACTTGTTCCAAAATTGTTAGCATCCTTCATGAAGTCTAGTGTCCAGAACTGGATACTCAATACTCAAGGTGAGGCCTAACCAGTGCTGAATAGAGAGGGACTAACACCTCGTGGGATTTGGAAACTTTACTTCTATTAATGCAGCCTAAAATAGAATTTGCCAATAGCTTTGGCACTATTTCCCCCCCCCCTGCCCACCACCTTTCCTGTTTTGCCTAATAATGTTGATGTCATACAGCCTATCATGATGTGATAAAATCACTGAGGGGGAAAAAGCTAGTTCAGAGTGAGCACAGAGTTTTCTGACATTTCACAAAAAAACAATTGCATGGAAGTAGTAACCAGTCAGAACCACAGATCGCCAGAAACAGGTATGAAAAGGTAAACTTTGGGGTCGGGTGGGAGTTGTTTTGTAAAATATTTTAGGACTGCAGCAAACCTTTTAAAAATTACAGAAGGAAATGGTTTATGAAAGAAAATTGATTCAGCCCTAATTGGAACCTGGATCTCCCACATATCCAGTCATGAGGTGAAATACCTGCGCACACATGCGCAGGCGAACATCCACACACGCCATTGCGTGACATCCCAGTCTTCCATGCTTCTGGGCCTAATGGATATGTTCAAGACAAAGCACTCAGTTAATTTTTTCCCTTCATGTAAATTGATTGAGGGAATGAAGGGTGACATTGTGTCTTTCCCTGCTTTCAGCCTGAGAAGACAAGTTGCTGCAATCAACAGACTAGCTGATCAAGGAATGTTTTTTTGGGATTATGGAAATGCTTTTCTCCTAGAAGCTCAGAGAGCCGGTGAGTACATAGATTGAAACATAAAGCTGAAGAATAATGATCTCTTAGTGCTTCCCATCTAGAAGAAGCTTTACAGAATAATCTGTGAATTTTCCTCTTCATTTAATAGCAAAATTTAAACTCTTTTAAAGGTGCTGATATTGAGAAAAGAGGAGCATGCAAAGGAGAATTCCGATACCCTTCCTATGTTCAGCACATTATGGGGTAGGTAGAATGGAATGAAATATAGAATGCAAACCTTTTACTGTCCAAAAGTCACACCTGTCTTGTGTGAATAAGTAAACCTGAATTAAGAACAGAATTCTCAAATGCTACAGTTCAGCCACTAATCTGGAACCCAGCTATGTTGTTGTTGTTTAGTCGTTTATTCACACAGCTCTGATCAGATACAGGTAAGATAACATATATATTAATATATACCATATGTATATACTAATGAGATACTAATGTACATACTAATGAGAGAGTCATTTATTCATTAGAGTAGGCCCATTCATACATTATCATAGTGACAGAAATTCTGAAATTGATGAAAGTATTGTGGGAGTTAGACCAGTGCATGAAACCTAGTAGATAGTTTTTGTGTATAAAGACTGCACTGTTCTTGCTATGCTTTACTGCCATTACAACACCTACCATTATTTCCTTTCCTTCTGGTGCTACTCCTAGATGCAGTAAGAATAGGGCTACTACAAGGATGGGTATAAAATCTGTGACCATCATACTGTTCCAGTTGCTTTCCCTGAAGGATATCTGAGATATTTAAGTCCAGAATAATTGCCAAAGACATGATTTAAAGCATTTTGATAGGAGAAAACCCCACTGAAATAATTTGTAAATACCTCTAGCTCATTGCATACAGAACTGGCATGAATGTGGTACACAGATGTACACTTAAATATAGCTGTTCCTAGGAACACAATAAATAGGCTGTATCCTTCACGTTTGAGCAACTGGTGTTCTAGCAGCCAAATTGCTCCCTTTGAGGGATGCCATCTGATCCCATAGCTGCTTCCAGTGCCCATCACAGCTCACCCCCTTTCTTCCTTCAGGCAGAAGGTCTGAGTGAGGCAGGAAGCATCCAACTGTGTGGGGAGGCAGTGTGTACAGAGTCCTTTGTACCACCATCAAGGGAACACTTTCTCTTCGCTTGGCTGCATCTGAATAACTAGCATATCATTCTCTCTCTCCCTCTTTTTCTGGACCCTTCCAGACAAGCTTTTGCTATGGAGTTGCGCAGCCTCATTCGGAGAAGCTTACAAGAACTTCAGATAATGAAGTCTTCAGTTAGCAAGCCCTCCCATCCCTATTTTTCCATCTCCTTCCCTAGGAAAGGAAATCTTCTCAGGGGAAAAGAGAGAAGGGCTACATAGTGCCTTTTAATTCTGAGCAGTAGGAACCCTTGGGAAACACTCTGTCTCATTCTTGCATAACTTACTTACTTACTTAAAATATTTTTACCTCGCCTTTCTCTTTAGAAGGACCCAAGGCAGCTGGTGTAGTATTTAAACCCTGCTCTCTGACTGGAAATGGTCTTAGAATGACTGGCAGATCAATAAAAAGGCCAAAATGGCCATTGCCCCCAAGATTACAATTCGAGGAGACACAATGACACGAAACAAGGATGGGGAGGGAGAAGGAAATAGTACTGGTTCTATGTGTGAAACTGGAGTTTATCCAGCAGATGTCAGAAATGGCACAGTGGATTCTTGGGCATTCTCCGGTACTCACAATCCATTTGGGCCAATGGTCATATGCGGAGTGAAGGCTCCCCTCCAAGGCCTCTGTTTTGCCCAGAAAGGGCTTTGGTGTGCCTGCCATTGGCATGCTTTCAGCCTGCTTCCATATAACTGGGCATCTAGCTGTATGTTAAAGGCAAGGATGGTAAGGAGTGTGCCCACAGACGGAGGAGCAGAGGTTGGAAAAGTTACTTTTTTGGTCACACTGACTGCATGATTCTGGGGGTTGTAGCCTTTTAGTCTGTAGCCCAAACCAGTTGCAAATTGTGGGTGTAAATGAATCATAAAAGCCTCCCCTTTGTGGTAAAACTGCTGGAATTTTGACAGAACATACTCATGGCCTGTATGGTTGTGATTTGCATGCACACACACATATGCAATTTTAAATCTTTATTTAAAATTCAGAAATGATGGTCCAAAGTGCTCTCTGTTTGGATTAGTTTGTCTGAAATTTTTGAAATTCTTCCATATCCAGTTAATGAAAGAAAAGCACTGCTGACTGCCAGGATAAATAAAGGAAGAATGTAAACTATCTTCTAATAGCTAAACATATTTTCTTCCCAGTGAGATTTTTTCTCTAGGGTTTGGCCCATTTCGTTGGGTTTGTACCTCAGGCAACCCAGAAGACTTGGCAACTACTGACGTTATTGCCACATCTGTGCTTGAGAAAGCTGTCCTTGAAGGAGGTATGGAGCCTGAGTGATGGAGAATGGATGTAAGACACCAGTTCACGATGTCTTACAGCTTCGACCAGTGGTGACCAACATGCGGTCATCCAGATGTTGTTGGATTACAGCTGCAGCCATCCCTTATCACTGGCTGTGCTGATTAAGGCTGTTGGGAGCTGAAATCCAAAAGCACCTGGAGGGCCACCAGTTGCACAAGTCCTGCATTAGACCTTAATGGTTATCCTCTTTGCCAGGTCAAGGCAAAATTGCCTGAGATTGACATCTTCTGTGCTGGGAAATTCCATGTGATCAAGATCATATCTGCCCTTTTTGCCAAGTGCACAGGTGTTTGTTACTCCGCTTGGGGCTTCCTTCCAAGAGTATAGATGTTCTACATCTTCAGCCAATATTTTCCTTTTTCATGTGAAGTGGCAAATAAGGCTTGTCATCACCTGTCCATCCAAACCAAGATCAATGATACTAAGTAATAAGTTACATGGTTAGCAATTTGAAAAGCCCTGTTGGCTGAAGATTTAAATCAAAAGAAACTGGAAACATTCACTGAAACTCAGCATAAAAGGAGAAGCAACATCTTAGGAAGTTAAAAAAAGGGGGGTATTATACTTTAAAATCTGTCCAATGTATGCTTCCCCTGATTTGGTCTGTAGCCTTTTTAGGACCAATAATTTAGCAATATGTAATTATCTCTTTTTGTTTAGTTCCGAGCTCCACAGAACTACTTAGTAAAGGGGTAACATATTTTGGGCATCAGGAACGGGCAGCAAATTTTTGCCTGGGACAAAACCAAGATAGCCCGAAGGGATATTTTACCTGGATCTGGAGCAGGACATCTGACTTCACATTTTATCTTTTGTTACTCAAACAAAACAAAAATCTGACTGCTACAAGCTACTGCTCTTCAGGTGCAAAACAATTCTTTCCATCTATTTCATTTTTGCCTCAATACTCAGAACAGGGTATAAGGCGCCAACAGAAGGCAATGTACAGGCCTGGTTACAAGCCATGTCATACTCTTCCTCTGCATTAGGCCATACCTCTGTAACAGTGGGTTAAATCCAGTCGACAGTAGGTTCACTGACTGAAATTACATTGTGTAGCATAAGTTGTGCTAGAGTAGACCCATTGAATCACTAGGGATTTGGTGAGTCAGTTTTTCTGTAAGTTTCATGGATTTATATGGACCTACTTTCATGTGACTTATGTAAATGTTGGCTTTCCAAAGTCCTATTAATTCAGTGAGTTTATTCTACCAGGTTAGGACTAATTGGATTTAGATTTATAACGGAAATTAAAAGTTACAGTTACTGTAGCCTATCTGTATCACTCAATTTCTCAGTGTCTTCATTATGAGGGTGAAGAATGAATTACAAGTACCGTAACTGTTGTTTTGTGGTCAGTAATTTCCAAGTTCTGGAAGATGGGAGGGATTGAACCTAGGATTTTTGCACGTGAAGGATGTGCTTACTACTGAGCCGCGGTCCTCACACACAGATCCTGCCTTTTTCTCTCTGTATACATGCCACTAGAAGGGTTCACAATGGACAACTTGTGATTTGTTCAGTTGGATGACAACATTAAAAATCACACCAATTGAGGGCACAACACCCCACAGTGATAAACACTGCAGCAAGACTGGATATTTTTATTTTTACGGTGTAGATATTTCCTGAAGATAGGACATCCAACCTTAGAAAAACTGCTTTGAATTTCTCACCATTCTAGTGGGGAAGGAGACCCAAATATTTTAATCCACAATAAAGCTATGTCTCTCCCAAGGAAATAGCCGTTGGAATTATATGCATCTGTATATAAAGAGACATTTTAAAATCAAGCCGACTGGGGCAGATTTGGTGGCACATCTGTTATTGGGTTTACTGTGGTGCTTGACAAAAGAGTGGACAGAGGAATTGAGAAAGAAATGACAGCTGAACTTTAGTGGGGAAAACCGATCCTTTCACAAATTTCCTTTTGACCTCCTTCAGTTATTTGGTGATCTACTTGGAGTTCACCTTTGCCAGCTAGAGTCAGTACTTGAACTACAGCCTTAATTCTCAACAGAACTGCATTGATACATATAGAAATTGAATTGAGTGGGTTTGCATTAAATCTGGCACTTTGGAAGTGTGTGAATATTATTTTCCCAGTTTGTTTGTTTGTTTGTTTGTTTATCAATTAATTAATTAATTATATTTGTACCTTGTCTTTTCTCTCAAAAATAGCACTCAAGGCAATTTGCAAACTTTTAAAAGAATAAAAACAAACAAAATTGTATTTAGCTGAAAGAAGCTTTGAAAAAAATCAATAAAGCAGTCCGTATAAAAAACATTACATTTAAGCAAATATATTAAAAACCATTGAAGTCAACAAAAGGTTAAAAACAACACAGCATACCAAGTAATCTGCCAGTCTAAAAGGATGTGTTTTATTCCCTTAAAATCAGTAAGCATGAAAACAGATCACAACTCAGAAGCGAGTGCATGGCAAATTTGAGACTGGCTTACAATGAATGGGAACTTTTGGCTCAAGGGCACATTTATTTGGGAAAGGCTTTGTGGCAGCTTCCTTTAGACCAGAAAGGATGGACGTCCTTTAAGGAAAAAATGTTCAGCCTTCTTAACCATGGTATCTGTCCCACCTTCACTGATTTGATTAGCCAGGAAAAGCAAGGATCAAAAGAGCAGGTAGTTGCCCTCACCACTTCAAGCACTGAATCCACATCCTTGAGCTTGAAAAGAATCCCAGCTAAAAGGAGAATCATCAAAGTCACATCAGTATGACCTCCGCCAATATCAGTGTCCAGGTCAAAGCAAATCCAATGAACCTTGTCTGCAAAACACAAAGCAATGGGTTCCCACGAGGTGACCCATTGCTCTGGTACTCTCTCCCCAGGACTTTGGTGAAGAAATCCTTGCACAGTTCAGAAATGCCTTTACTGGTTGTTTATGTGCTTAGGCGTTAATAGCGGAGACGCAGGCTTTCTTTGCAGCATTTGCTTCCGCAGTGTGTTTTTTCAGATGGATTATACCAAGTTTGAGAGTTGTCCTCAAGTGATCCCCTGACTGCTGCCCCTTCTGTTTTATTGCTCAACAGGTGAGGCAGGGGCGTTTAGAAGCAAGTGTCAACTTGCACAGTTATTTTTGTATTCTGTAGATTAGCCTCACGGCCCACCATCAAAGTAGAAAGTTTCTCAAGAGCAGTCAGGAAACTATTAGGATCCATCAGCCACCTGGGGCAGACCATTGTAACTGGTCCACCAAGTAAGGCAAAAATATTAGATCCAAAATATGCCCTGCCAAATGCACGGGGCCAGTTTCTAACTGGGACAAGTTCATGGTTGTCGTGGCAGACATGAAATCCTGAGCTACTCTTAACTGAACAACTTGAGCAAGACCATCGAACTCTCCAGAACAATAAACCTGAGATAGTCCAATGGCATCCTAGCGATTGTCCCCAGATAGCTCAGGCAGAGAGACTGTTGGACGGTGAGGTGGGTGCTACACCAACAGAATCTCAGTGTCGTCATGGCCACCAAGCCTCAGCAATATCCATTCAAAATTGACAGACTGCTGGATGGAGGATCTGGTCATTGAGACTGAGTTTTTCCATCTCAGTCCCCACTCATTTGTCTTCTCTCAGCCAGGTCTCTATGATAAAAGCCAAGTCAGTACCTTCATCCAGGATTTTATCCTTTAGACTAGAAAGGATGGACATCCTTTAAGGAAGAATTTTTCACCACTATTAACTATGGTATCTGTCCCTGTCAGATGATTTTTCTGCAACTGACCTGGCTATAAAAAGGAGGATTTTTGGGCTGGAAGATCCACCTTGATTGTCACTATGACATCTTTGGCCAGGTTTCGACTTGAAGGAAGGGAAGGCCAGCCAATTCCTTGCCCTCCTTTCCATGTGATGGCTAGGTTGTCGTCTCCCATCATATTTCCTCCTTCCTCTAATTATTTGACTAATGGCTCCTGCACTCCCCTTGTGTTCTGCTTTTTGGACACATTTTCCTGGTCTATTTGCATGGTAGTAAAGTTGGATCCTCCCTCCTTAGCTCTTTTAAGCAGAGGAGCCAGCTGTCACCTAAAGGGCACCCCCAAAAGATTATTCCCCTATGTGTCATATGGCCTCTCCTTTATCTCTTACGATGGTCTAACTGCCCCACCGCAAGTAAGATGCAACTGCTGAGGCATTTGGCTTGCACAAGGGGAATGGAAGGTCAGAAGGAGCATGTCTTGTGTATTGTGGCACAGTGGTTAAACTGCTGTACTGCAGCCAAACTCTGCTCATGACCCAGTGTTCAATCCCAGGTAGCTGACTCAAGGTTCACTCAGCCTTCCAGCCTTCTAAGGTTGGTAAAATGAATACCCAGCTTGCTGAGTGGGCAATGTGTAGCCTGATTAATTAACTTGTAAACTGCCCAGAGAGTGCTTTAAGCACTATGGGACAGTATTTAAGCATCATACCCAATATCTCATATGAAAGTTAGTATGCAGTGGTCCCCAACTTTTTCTGAACTGCGGACTGGTTGGGGAGGTGGGATCCCTGCGCAGGGGACACCCCCCCCTTGCGGATGGGTGGGGTGCGCTTGCATGCATGCAGAGGGTGGGCAGGCTGTGCCCGTGGGTGGGGGTGCATGGAGATAGTGCGTGCCAGGGGGCGGGAGATTTGTCTCTGTGTCCCGATCCTGCCATGGCCACGGACCGGGACCAGACCACGGACTGGGGGTTGGGGACCCCTGGTATAGTGGTTATAGAGTTGCAATAGGACTCAGGAGATCTTGGATCAAATCCCTACTTAACTGTGCAACCCACTGGAAGACTTTGGGGCAGGCAAGTTTTTTCTATCTTCCCCACCCTCACAGGATAGTTGATGCAATAAAATCAGAGGGGAGAACCTTGTGGACCAATCTGAGCTTAAAAATGCAATAAACAAACAAATAGCCAATCAAAATTTTGGTAGTGTGTGCCAAGTTTCCCAATTAAGGAATCCATCATTAGCTGTGCAAATATGGCAAAATATGCCAAGTAATGATGATTTCTTGAGATCATAGCTACAGTGGGAGTGAAATGGTATGAATTAGGTTTAAGAGGAAAATGTGCTCCCTGTTCTGAGTGTATCCAAAGAAACTTGGAAGGTGTAAAAATAAAACAGAAAATAAAAAATAACTCTGAAGCTAGGGAGTCAACTTCCTTGCTGACACAGATAACATGGATGAGATCACACTGTCCTTTTTAGTATCTTCTGGAACCTAAATAAAGATTGCCAAAAGAAACAGCAACAAAGAGCGCTCATTATATGATTTTATAAATGAAATGGCAACTTCTTTAGAAATGAAAAACAACTGGATTCAGCAAGTCAAGCAAATATTTCAAAGACATGGAAAAATGAATAGATTGCACTACTTTTGAATTTATGAAGAGATGAAACAATGGTTGAGGCTTTTTAAAAATACCACATTGCAATTCCCTTCAGTATTGACCTCATAAGGCCTGGTGCTGAAAAGCCAAAAGTGTTGGAGCCAGGCGGATCTCTATAGGGAGGGCATTCCAAAGTTGGGGGGCAACAGCCGAGAAGGCCCTATTTCGACATGCCATCCCCCTCATCTCTTTCAGGGATGGGACCTTCAGAAGGGCCTCCTGGCCTGATCTTAGAGGGCGGGCAGGCTTGTATGGAAGAAGGTGGTCCTTTAGGTAACCAGGTCCTAAGCCATTTAGGGCTTTATATGTCAAAGTAAGCACTTTGAATTGGGCCCGAGCAGCAACTGGCAGTCAGTGTAAATTTTTCAAAACTTGCATGATATGAGTCCACGTGGCAGCACCACTTACCAGCCACACAGCCTGGTTCTGTGCCAGTTGCAGTTGCCGGACCATCTTCAAAGGCTGCCCCACATATAGCGCATTGCAGTAGTCCAGTCTGGTTGTTACCAATGCATGTGTGACTGTTGCCAGGCTCTGCTCATCCAGGTAAGGGTGCAGTTGATACACTCTCTGCAGCTGTAAGGAGGCAACCCAGTCCATCTGGGCTTCCAAGGTCAGACCTGGGTCAAGGAGCAACCCTAAGCTGTGGACCCTGTCCTTTAGGAGGAGTGTAACTCCATCTAGGGCAGAGAAATGGCCCTTTAACCTATCTGGTGGGGCACCTACTACAGCACTTGTCTGGATTGAGCCTCAGTTTATT